AAAAAAAAAAAAAAAAAGAGTACAAAAATTAGTTAGGCACACGCTTGTAGTCCCAGACACTAGGGAGGCTGAGGTGGAAGATCACTCAAGCCTGGGAGGTCAAGGCTGCAGTGAGCTATAATTGTGCTACTGCAGCCCCACCTGGGTCACAGAGCAAGACCTTGTCTCAAGAAAAAACAAACAAACAAAAAAAGAACTGTCAGGGTTTGAACCCAACAAAATACAGGGAAAAAACAAGAGGTTTAAAGGACAGATTCTAACTTTATGACTTGGGAATTAAGTAGAAAGTCGTCCACACAAAGCACAAGCAGTTCTGGCAAAAAAGCTGACAATAAAGATGGCATTCACCTTGGCAATTAAGGACTATAGATTTGTGTATTTCTACAGTAATTTTTTTTTTGACCCGTGACACAGCCCTCAGGAGGTCCTGAGAACATGCACCCCTAATTTTTTTCTTAGTTTTTGCAGATACGGGGTCGCGCTATGTTGCCCAGGATGGTCTCAAACTGCTGGGCTCAAGCAATCCTCCCACCTCAGTCTTCCAAAGTGCTGGATTACAGGCGCGGGCCAGCATGCCCGGCCCTCGTTTTCTTATTTCAAAATGAAAGTGGATCTGTGGCATAGACTTCAGATCAGAAATCCCTATATCTAAATCCCAAGATGCTTAATTAGCCATGTGATCTAGTTGGGCAACTTCTGAGCTTCAACTTTCCCATCTATAAAATTTGAGTTTTTTATACAGTTGTTTTAAGGATTAGTTATAATATGCACAAAGTCTCTAGCACAGGACAGGCACTAAGCAGAAGCTCAATAAATAGCAGAGTAACTAGATACAAGGTTTCAAAGATGGGGGGGAAAAAAGCACAAGAAGTAATAAAACATTCCATTTGAATATGTTGATTATTCCACTTTTGAACTTACCAACAGATAAAAATTTTCTTTTGCTTAATATAAACTGAAGATAAAATTAAGATATCCCCTAAAAGATTAAGAATTTAATACAGAATACAGAATTAATCCCAGGTATGGAAAGGAACAAAAGTAGGTGAGATATAATATGGTATACTGATTTCAAACTCTAAGGACAGAATTACAGATATTAAAGTAGAAAAAAAGCATAAAAAGTCTAAAACAAAATCTTATGATTTAGGCAAGATACAATAGTGAATCTCGACACAAAACAAAGGCATTGATCAGTTTACCAACACCATCTAAAAATACTTTCGTATCTATCTGAACTGATGACTTCTATTTCTATGTTCCAAAGATAATTTTTTTTTTTTTTTTTTTCTGAGACAGTCTTGCTCTGTCACCCAGGCAGGAATGCAGGAGCACAATCATGGCTCACTGCCGCCTCAACCTCCTGGGCTCAAACAAGCCTCCCACCTCAGCCTCCTGAGTAGCTGAGACCTCAAGTGTCGGCCACCAGGCCTGGCTAATTTTTTAAAAAAAAATTTTGTAAAGATGGAGTCTCCCTATGTTGCCCAGGCTGGTCTGAAACTCCTGGGCTCAAGCAATTCTCCCCACTAAGCCTCCTAAAGTGCTGGTATTACAGGTGTGAACCACCGCACCCAACCCCAAAGATAACTTTTTATGTTCTAAATTCAAATGTCTATCTATTGCTTTATGACATGCTAGCTTCTCAGAGTCCACATATCCAATTAATACCTTATGTTTCACTACCTCTAACTCCTATATATTACTCTTCTTGTGGTCATAGATACTCTCAAAGTAATTTCAAATCCAGTTGTCCAGTAATGTCAATTCTACTGCCTAAACACATTTCATATCCATGTATACCTTTCACTATTTATTAATTTAATAATAATTGAGCACATACTATGGAAAAGGCATTGAAATAAGTTATTATTTCTCATCCAGATTAATGAGAATACCTCTCCAAAGGTCACTCCTCCTGTTCCGCCTGCCACTGACCCTTCTAACTCAGGGCTAGTAGCCCAATCTTGCAAAACCATAAATCTTACATCGCTGCCCTCTTTCAAAAACCTATAGTTTTTAGACAACTATAAAGAATTAAATTCAATGTTTTTAGCATGATTTTAAAAGTCTTTTATAACATAGTATGGTGTTATCTCCTTACCACCACTGAGACACAGTCCAGTGAACTACTAATCCTTATTACAATGTATCTTACACTTTCTTTCTCTGTGCCTTCGCTCACTTTGGTAGAATGGTAAAAATGGCTCCCAATAAATTATGTCTCCCCGTGTTGATGCCCCCATGTAACATGACTTTGCCATATCTTTCATTAAGAGGTGGAGTCTATTTCTCCCATCTCTTAATATGAGCTGAACTTGTAACCATATAATGTGGCAGGAACAACATTCTTGGACTTCCTTGCAGCTTCTACTTTCACTCTCAGAATGCAGCCACCATGTAAAATCCAGGCTACCTTGCTAGAAAGGGCCACAGAAGAGGCCACATGGAGGAGAACAAAGGCATTCCAGTAGATAACAAGCAGCAAGGCCCAGATATGTGAACAAAGCTTTTCTTGGATCATTCACCTACAGGTAAGATGCTTCAGCCAATACCACATGGAACAATAGACCAGCCATTCCCACAGAGCCTTCCTGACCAACAGAATTATAAGCAATAAAATGATGGATGTTTTAAGCCATCCATCATTTTGGGGGATGCTTTTCTAATGCAGAAATAGATAACTTATATATATATATATTTTTTTTTCATTATATTTTCTTAAACTTCACTTTTTTCCTGTTACATCTACCCAACCCTCATTGCTAAAGTCTGTCTACTCTCAGGTCAAAAGGCTCCTTTCCAATACCTCAATTCTCCAGAGAAATATCTCTTTCCAAAAACAGTAAGTATCCTATTATAGCACTTAGAACATTCTCTCATCTCTTACAGTGCGTATCTGTCTTCATTTCATTATAAACTCTAAAAGGGAATGACCTACAATCTCACACAAAGAAGTGAAATACAAGAGAGTAATAAAAATAACTTGGCAAGTGATATTTCATTTTAGTTAATCCTGCTAATTTTCTTACCTGTGGGATCCCAAGTTATATTGTGTGCTATTGATTCCAAAAAAAATTGGCCACTTTTCTGCCACTGACTATATAATTCCTAAAAATAAGAAAAAAGTCATTTAGCCCATTATAATTGGCATCTCTATCAAATGTGTACGTTCATGTTTGTTCTTATAACACAGGCAGTCAATTTTAAAGATAATGAAATGTTCAATTCAGTCCACAAAAATATAGAAAATAGGATAAAGAAGACATGTGAGACAATACCTATTACTGGAGGTCAAAATTCTATCATTAGTATAAACAACCAATAACCACATGCTACCTTGGATAACAGTCTTATTAACCTCAGATCTAATTATTATTTTACTACTATTACAGTTATAGCAAAAAGCTTAATTTTAAATATGTCTTTACTATTTGAAGTTTCCTTCTCTTTCACTGTTTTATCCCCACCTGAGATCATAATGGTATGTGAAAAAATTCAGAATAAAAGATGTAACATTTTGATACCATTATGTAATTTATGGCTTTACAACTTCTTAAAGTGAAATTTTGCCTTTTTTTCTTGCCTGCAAATCAGTAAGAAACACACAATATATTGTGACCCAGAACACATACATATACAAATAAATACAATCTAGGATTGTCCTTATTACATGTGACATACTCTGGTATTTTCTCTATTTCATTTTCTTTTTAAATTCAGGTTGTGGCCTATACTAAGTTGAGTTCACAGTCCAATTACAGATTAAACTTCATACTCTCTCTCTCAATGTAATGGTTCTCAAACTCTGGTACAACAAAGAATAGGCTGAGATGTTACTAAAAATTCAAATTTCCAAGAACTGTGCCCAAAAATTCAGGTTCAAAAGCTTCAGGATGGGTAGCAGAAATGTGTACTTTAGCACCCCAAGTGATTTTGATGTAAGTGACCTACAGAATATGCTTTCATCGAACACTGCCTTGCAGGAATGGCTTTCAATCACAGTACATACCAGAATCATCTCTAGAACAAGACATTTAACTGCATAGACACAATCCCACACCTACAGATTTAGAAATTCCCAGGGCAGGACCTGGACACATATATCCAACAGGAGCTGTGAAGTGCAACTCTCATGAAGAACCACCATCTTAAAAGAATACTCCAGAATATACAAAGAAAAGGAAATAATGTATTTTTACAAGGATCTAAGGATTCTGAGACTATCTCTAGAATCATAGATTTTAAGTATCTTTCAAGTCTATAACTTTACCATTTGATCCAGTTTTGCCCTTCTTCATCACGTTTATTATCTTTTCTCCAAAGTCAATGCTAATAAGTCAACAAACCAGCCTCTTTTTGAATTTTATACATTATTATATTCATCAATTATGATTCGCAAAGAAGAAAATGGACAAACACTGAAATTGTCTATTCTACCCTTCTCAATAAAGGCATCTTATCATAGCATACTGATTTTCAAAAGCTACTTACTTTATTTAATAAATATTTATTGAGTATTGAAATACACTGTTCTGGGCTGAATGGGGTAATTACCTTAAAAATTTATTTTTAGTACTGCTAATTACTAATTCTTAAGGCTTTAAGGGCCTCAAATAGATTCACTGTGCAATCTGTAAAAACAAATATAAATCAGACAGAAGTGTGAATACTCCTTCCATGAAATTTAAAGATGAATATCAATTAGCTCTGAAAATATTTTTCATTAACACAAGGTAAGGAAAGAATGTTCACACCTAGGAATCAATAAAGATGGTTTTACTCTTAGTTTTGTGGCTTAACAGCTGTTTCACTGGTCAAGTCACTATTTCCTTTGAGCCTAGTCTACTACCTTACTTGTAAAAAGAAGAAATAATAGCTGTGCAAACTAGATTTGAAGTAATTTGTAAAATACTAATGAGCTAAGTAAAGATATAAAAACTATCAAAAGATATATAAAGGTACATCTGCTATTAAAACAGTTTCTTTATAATTAATACATTTCTAAACAGTCTTTGACATAATGTTAGCCTAATAATATTCCCATCAAGAATGAATAGGTATTAATGAATTTGAGAGTTGAGCAAAGAATTTCATAAGGCTAACTTACCTAAAAGAGCAACTAGCTAGATAGCCCCAGATATAGAAACCAGTTCAAAGACGCTCTTTGGAAAACACTGTGCCTGTCTTATTTCAGGTGTTTTTTTTATTTTTATTTTTAGAGACAGGGTCTTTCTGTGTCACCCCCAGCTGTAATCACAGCTCACGGCAACCTCAAATATCTGGGCTCAAACAATCCTCCCATCTCAGCCTTCTGAGCAGCTGAGACTATAGGCAAGCACCACCATGCCTGGCTAAACTGTTTTTAAACTCTTGCCCAGGCTGGTCTCAGACTCCTGGCCTTAGGCGATCCTCCTGTCTCAGCCTCCCAAGTAGCTAGGATTACAGGCACATGCATTAAAGAACCTATAAAATCTACTAACACAATCCAAATATTTATTAACTATTGAGTAAACCAGTTTTCAGAACTATTTTTGAGTACAGCTTCCTTATAAAGAAAACATTCATTGCCCTGTTAACAATTGCATTACATGATCTAAATAATGCAAGAAAGTTAAGCCCTAAAGAGGCAGAAAATCTGTACAAAGGCAGATTATAAAACAAAGAAAAAAGTACGTATAGCTGGACAACAGTATCTGATACTAGCAATAAAGTAAGTGACAAACTTTAGGTTACTGACTCCTCAAATATTTATTATAAAATTTAAAATGTCAGAAATAAAATAATAAAGCATTTCAACAATTTACTGGTACAATTTAGTTTAATTCTATCCCAATGAAAGATTTAAATATATTTTTAATATCAAAATGGAATTTAGCATGTTATCTTCAATTATATCATATGTTATATTGATTTAGTCAATGATCACTCTGATTTTATACTCTTAATACTTAAGACATTTCAATTCCTAAAAGAGAAAATTATAAATTACTGACCAAATTTTTCTTTTGTTTCGGCAGGTTAACTGGTTCAAAAATGGAGATAACGTTTCCATAAGATGCCGCAATCTTTTAAAAATAAAAAAAAGAAAACTTATTATGGATATGTTAACTTACTTATGAATCAAAAAAAAAGCAAAGAAATGAATACTATCACTTTAAATATACTAATACACACAATATCATTCACTGATGCTTAAGAATGTCAGTTTTGAAGACTATCACATCTGCGTTAGAATCCTAGAACTGCTATTTACTACGTTAAGTGGCAACTTACTCTCTCCAAACATTAATTTCCATGTCAGTGTTCATAATACATAAAACACTATCTTCCCAGCAGAATTATTTTGAAGGTTGAAATAACATTTGTAAAACACCTAGCATATAAGTGATATACAATATGCACAATAAATGTTAATTGTCATCTATCCTCAAAATTCACAATTCTGTCAGTGTACATTAACTTTTCAAAAATATAACTTAGATCTATTCCTCTGCAAACTCCCTCAGTACATTTTAAAAAATATTTTACTTATCTTTTGAATTTACTCTTTAAATTGATAGAGCATAACCATTCCTAGTTCTGTTTTATAAGGTAGCTACTACTATAACTTGAGTGAGTCTCACATGAAGAAAATCAATATATTGGAAATCAAACACAGAGAGAGACAAAGAGATTAAATGAATGAACGAACCATGGATAGAAAAAAGAATATATGATCTAGTAAAGAGGAAGGTAAGAAATGAGGACACAATATACATATGGAGAAAAAACTTTTAATGGGTATTTTAGTTCTTAGGATATAGAGGTTACTTGTACTGAGTTGATCTGTAAGAAGTGTTTAGTTTGGGCCTTTAATTAGGGGTAGGATTTCAAAAAGCAGCAAGTATTCGATTTTATAAATAGGGTGTAGTATAAACACAGGTGTCAAGATTAAAAGAGGCAACGTATGTTTAGAGGTGAATGACCACCATCCCATCAGGAAGAGAGTGCTCCTTGTAACAGAACAGTGTACCTGAGACTAAAAAGGCAGGTCTGAACTAGGTTGTAAAAGGCCTCATGCCAAGGTGAACAATTTGAACTTTTCCAAGGTAATGGGAAGCTAAGAGTATTTTGAAGTTAAGAATATTTTGAAGCTGATGAATAACAGGATAAATGCTGATTTTCTCAGAAAAATTAGTTAGGTGGTAGTACAGTACAAAGCAAAAACACAGTAATAATAAAAATACAGGTGGCAATAATGTTAACATTTCCTTCTTAAATGCAAATAATCAGAAGTCCCCAGGTACCAGAACCTGCAAATTTTCTTCCTGATACTTTAAGGAACCCTATGATAATACTGATATCTGTAAATCAAAAAAATATTTCTTTTTTAGAATGATTATAAAACCAAATGACTTCTTCATTCCTCTTTTCTGTTTTTGTTTTTAGAAATGGGTTCTTGCTTTGTCACCCAGGCTGCAGTGCAGTGGTGCAACCAGAGCTCACTGCAGCCTGGAACTCCTGGGCTCAAGTGATTATCCTGTCTAAGCTTCCCAAGTAGCTAGGACAACAGGAGCACATCCGGTTATTTATTTTTTATTTTTACTTTTGTAGAGATAGTGTTGCCCAAGCTAGTCTCAAATTCCTGGTCTCAAGGGATCTGCCTGCCTCAACCCTCCCAAAGCTCTGGGATCACAGGCATGAGCTACCACACCTGGCCATGATTTCTTCATTCTAACCTGGACGGTCATATAATCTATCACAAAAAGATAGCTCATATTGGAAAGTATTAAATTCAATTTTTAACATTAACCAGTTCCCTGTGAGTCTAGATGGTATTAAGCAAGTTTTTATACCATAAAGATTACAGAACAAAAGAGCTAGGAGATGAAACAAACATAACAAGCGTGAAAAAAAAATCTCAAGGATTTTCAGCATTCCATAATAAAGATCCTTTTTGTTGTATAGTGAGAAGTCATAGGAAGCCTCAACAAAAGACAGGGGACACTTGTAACTATGTTAAAGGGAAGGAATACCATGTAACAAAAGGAACAGTAGTCCAACAAATACGTAAAGATTGAGAAAACAGAAACTCCTTTTACAATTAATATCTTTATGTCCCAGTGAGTAACTTTTAATACTAGGTTTACCTCAAATGAAGATTTTAAAAACAAATGATTGGGTCCATGAACTCTTATATAACCATTTTGATTCCTTACATAAAATGTTCTAGTGCCATCATATGAGTGTATTTGTAAAGTTCAGTCCAGTCTAGCTACACAATTATACATAGGCCTTACCATCTATGCCTAAATGGAATTATTTTAAGCTATACATTATGCTGCCTTGCCTACTAGTATGACTCTCTCATTCTGGTATTACACGAACTGTATTTAAGCTGATCTAGAAGAATTTTACACTTTGTTTCTTTTGTTTTTATTTTTTTTACACTTTGTTTCTTTTGTTTTTGTTATTACTATTTTACTTTCAAGGTTACCTTTTTACTTTTCATATGCAAATAGAAGTCCAGATAAAGTTTTTCAATTTTCTTATAGGCTTAGAAGAAATTAATATTATAAACTCTAGAAGAGTTTTTCATTTCCACACAAAGTTACACAGTTCTTGCTACACAGAAGCTACAAGGAGATAACTACCTGTTTACAGACCAACAAAACCTCTAAGTCATTTCCTTCAGTTTATTTGTAAACAATTAAGATTTATTGTTATCCCTTTCCCTCAATCCAATTGCCTTTTAAACAAGTAAGCTTTAGACTCATTCTATATCAAGAATAAAATATAAGTATTATATTTCTTTTTCAACTCAAAGAAAACGATGCTACAATTTAACATTATATAAAAATAGAATTTCTAGCACTCTACAGAATGCATCTTAGAGAATCAAAAATATTTTTAGTTACGCTATCCTTGAAACAAAGCCAAGTCCCTAATTCAATAGGAAATACATACTTCAGAGATTATCCTGACAAAAACCATATTCCAAACAAATTTGCATATTAACCACAAGATTACAAACCTTGCCTTGTTGCATTGAACAGTCTACACATCCCACTTGAATATTTCCATGTTTAGCTCCTGGGATTATCTGTAATCTTTCAAAATCACTTCCCAGTATTACAATGTCACATCCAGATGCATAAGCCTAAAAAATAAAATAAAAATGATAAAAGTGTCAAGAAAACATTTACCATGTAGAATACTAGCATTAACTACCACGTTTTAAGGTGGGGAGAATAAATGTTTCAAAAGACCAATTTTAGATGTTCTTTTCTTCAAAAAAAATCTATATTTGGAACTATTTCCCTTACCTCCCCATATACAGCCTATTCGCAAATTCTGTCAGTCCTGATGCAAAATATGCATCAACTCTGTGAACTTCATCTCCAATGATTGCACAACCCTTGTCTAAACCATGATCATCTCTGTCCAGTCCTACCGTTAATAGCAAACGTCCATTCTTGCCTCCCTCTAATTCATTTCCACAAAGAGTGATATTTGAAAAATGCTTATTGCACTAAGTAATTTTCCCTGCTTAAACTCAATAGTTTTCCACTGCGCTTGGAGTAAAATCTCAACACCTTGCCATGGTCAATATCCTAAATGGTGGTCCTTCTATAAACCCACCTCAGGCTACTCTTTCCTTCTCTCAGTTGGCTCTTGTTTCTGTTCCTTTTTCCATCTCAAGGTGTTTAACTGCCTAGTCTTTTCTAGTTAGCTGCTTTCCAATATTCAGGTCACAGTTCCCAACGATTAACTCTCCTATTACTTTCTATCAGATTACTGTTGATTTTCTTCATGGCATATATCACAATTTTTAAATATCTTGTTTATTGTGCATATCTATTCTAAAAGTTAAATTCCAAAAAGAAAGGATTCAAATTTATCTTGTTCTCTGCTCTAGTCCTCAATTCTAACACAAGAGCCTAAAGCACAGTTAGTAATTTATAAATGGAATAAATTAAGCATTTAATTTCACAAAAACAGTCACTACAACAAAAGAAAGTATACATAGTTCAAGGCTTGTTGGCAAGCATTTCATATCTCTTTTTCAATTTTACAACAGTTAGCATAACTCTCCCAACCAGAATTATTTGTGTGTCCCTTTCCCTACCACCTTCTTTAATCCCAGGAGTTTCTTTCATTACAGGATACATGGTTGTTCTCCTAGGATTCATATTATAGGCTGGCACACGTTACAACAATAAAACATCCAACACAAACTGTTTTCCATCCTGAGTTCATTAAGTTTTATCAATTCTCGACTTGCTCCTCATTTTGGCACAAGCATGTATATTTAAAATTATATTTCATATATACTTTACCTTCTTGATTCCTACCAAAATCAAAATTATTCTGTATATCCAACAAAAATATTATAAACGGGACTTGAGAGAACATACAAATAAATGTGCTCCTATTATAGAGAAGAAAATCAAGGCCCAAATAAGTTGATAATGTTTTAGTGGCAGAGTGGACTTCAGAACCTGATCTCTTGATTTTTGGCCTCTTGCTATTTATTTCCATTGTACCAATAGCGTTCTCCCCTAGTGAACATGCTTGCCTGGAATTACTCCTAAAAATAATAAAGAATAATCACGTATCATTCCACTAGTAACACATAGTGAAAAGAACTGGCTCAAACAAACAAAAAAATCACACAATGATCTCCTCTCCTATATAAATATCATGATGGGATCACAAGACTTGTCATAAGGCCATCAGCAAGAATAAATTCCAAAGACTAATTTTAAGAGTTGCCTTTCAAATAATTTAGAAACAAATTTTTCTACTTGATATTAAATTTTATAATACTGATTGTCACTGTTTCTCAAAATATTATGTTAAATTTTATACATTGACAATTTAGATTTGCTCCCTTTTAAACAACATCTTTGGTTTCCATTAAGCAGAATAAGAAACTCATGTCTTCATAACTTTACCTTTGTTATACTTGAAATTATCTACCTAATTTCAGATATTATGTTGCATGTATTTTGTCAAACATGACTCAAAATTTTCCCATATCAAGTCTATATTAATATTGAAGTACCACACAAATTACTATTTATTACAAGTATTATACTCAAAGAGTTGAGAAATGTAAAGTAATCCCAGAAATAAACACTTAGTAGTACAGAGAGGAAAATACTAATAACACAATTACCACTTTATCATTCAATGTCTTAGCTAGTTCTGAATTACCCTTGTTCTTTGGCTGCTGCTGCTTCACACTACTACTATTTGATCAGTGATGGTAATAGAAGTTACAAAGCTGTTTCTTTAGGCTTGGCTAATTTTAAATCAAATAAAATTATTGAACTTGGCTGGGCGTGGTGGCTCACACCTGTAATCCCAGAAAAATGGGAGGCCAAGGCAGGCGAATCGCTTGGACCCAGGAGTTAAAGACCAGCTTGGGGAACATGGCAAAACCGTCTCTACAGAAAACACAAAAATTGTGTTGCAGTGGCGCACGCCTGCAATCCCAGTTACCCAAAAGGCTGAGGTGGGAGGATAACCTGAGCCCAGAAGGTCAAGGCTGTGGTGATGAGCACCACTACACTCCAGCTCGGCCAAGAGAATGAGACCTTATCTAAAAATAAAAAATTAAAAAAAATAGGGTCGATGCAGTGGCTCACGCCTATAATCCCACAGCACTTTGGGAGGCTGAGGTGGGTGGATCACAAGGTCAGGAGTTTGAGACCAGCCTGGACAACAAAGTGAAACCCTGTCTCTACTAAAATAACAGAAATTAGCTAGGCATGTTGGTGCACGCTTGTAATGCTAGCTACTCAGGAGGCTGAGACAGGAGAGCTGCTTGAACCTGGGAGGTGGAGATTGCACTGAGCCGAGCTCGTGCCACTTTACTCCAACCTGGGTGACAGAGCCAGACTCTGTCTCCAAAAAAAAAAACCTCAAATTATTTGTGAAGGTGAAATCATCTTCTTCCAAACTCTTGGTAATGTTGATATTTTGGCCTCCTCCCATGAATTGCAAATGTCCCTAATGGCACCTAGAATGGTAAAGCCTTTCCAGAAGGTTTTTAATTTACTTTGTCCAGGTCCATCAGAGGAATCATTATCTATAGCAGCTATAGCTTTATGAAATGTATTTCTTAAAAGATAAGACTTAAAATTTGGAAGCATTCCTCGGCTCACGGACTACAAAATGAATGTTGTGTTAGCAGGCATAGAAACTACATTAATCTGCTTGTACATTTGCATCAGAGCTCTTGGGTGATCAGGTCATTGGCAATGAACAGCAATATTTTGCAAGGAAATCTTTTTTCTCAGCAGTAGGTCTCAATAGTGGGCTGGAAATATTTAATAAACTGTACTGTAAACAGAGGTGCTGTCATCCAGGTTTTGTTTTTCCATTTGCAGAGCACAGGCAGAGTAGGGTTAGCATAATTCTTAAACACTCTAGGATTTTCAGAATGGTAAATGGTAAATGGGCATGGGCTTCAACTTAAAGTTACCAACTGCATCAGCATCTAACAAGAGTCAGCCTGTCCTTTGAAGCTTTGAAGCCACCTCTCCTCTCTAGCTATGAAAGTCCTAGGAGATGGCATCTTCTTCCAACAGAATGCTGTTTCATCTACTTTAAAATCTGTTCTTTCGCATAGCCACCTTCATCAATTATCTCAGCTAGATCTTCTGGATAACATGCTGAAGCTTCTAAATCAGTCAGCATTTGCTGCTTCACCTTGCACTTATAGGTTATACAGATGACTTCTTTCCTTAAACCTTATGAACCAACCTCAGCTGGCTTCAAACTTTAATTCTACAGCTTCCTCACCTCTTCCAGCCTTCACAGAATTGAAAAGAATTAGTCTTGCTCTGGATTAGGCTTTGGATTAAAGGAATACTGTGGTTGGTCTGATCTTCTAGCCAGAGAACTCAAACCTTCTCCATATAAGCAATAAGGCTATTTTCATACTGATCATTCATATGTTCAATGGAGCCAAACTTTTATTAATAGTTTCCTCTGAATTTGCCCTTTGCATTTACAACTTGGCTAACTAGAGCACAATAGGCCTAGCTTTCGGTCCATCTCCACACCTTCCTCACTAAACTTAATCATTTCTAACTTTTGATTTAAAGGAAGTGATGTGTAACTCTTTCCTTTCACTTGAACACTTAAAAGATACCGAAGGATTATAACTGTTCTAATTTCTATATCATTGTGTCTCTGTGAATAGGGAGGTCTAAGCAGAAGAGATAATGGGAGAAAAGCCAATTGGTGGTGCAGTCACAATACACACAACATTTATTAAGTTTACGGTCCTACAGAAGCGAAGTTTGTTGGTGCTCTACAACCATTACAATACTTAAAAGATCAGTGATCACAGATCACCATAACAGATATAATAATAGTTTAAAAAGGGGCCAGCCATGGTGGCTCACACCTGTAATCCCAGCACTTTGAGAGGCCGAGGCAGGCAGATCACTTGAGGTCAGAAGGAGACCAGGCTGGCCAACATGGTGAAATCTCATATCTACTAAAAATACAAAAATTAGCCAGATGTGCTCGTTTGAACCCAGGAGGCAGAGGTTGCATTGACCTAAGATTGTGCCGCTGCACTCCAGCCTCAGTGACAGAGCGAAGTTCTGTCTCAATAATAATAATAATAAGTATGAAATATTTTGAGAATTACCAAAATGTGACACAGAGACACAAAGTGAGCACATGCAGTTGGAAAAATGGTGCTGACAGATTTGCTCAAGGGTTGCCACAAAACTTCAATTTGTAAAAATCGTAATACTTGGCCAGGCGCAGTGGCTCACGCCTATAATCCCAGGACTTTGGGAGGCTGAGGCAGGTGGATCACAAGGTCAGGAGTTCAAGACCAGCCTGGCCAACATGGTGAAACCCCATCTCTACTAATAATACAAAAAATTAGCCAGGCATGGTGGCAGGCGCCTGTAATCCCAGCTAATCAGGAGGCTGAGGCAGGAGAATCACTTGAACCTGGGGGACAGAGGTGGCAATGAGCCCAGACCACACCACAGCACTCCAGCCTGGGCAACAGAGCAAGACTCCATCTCAAAAACAACAACAACAACAACAAAAAACACATAATACTTGAAGTACAATAAAGGAAAGAGCAAGAAAACAAGATATTCCTACATTCAAGAAAACTGA